ATTAGGTAGAACCCTAGATTTGGCATGTTTAAATAAAATGTACCTACTACAATTGTGTTCAACATCTTTCATCATGTTAGGCCAATAAAAAATGTTCATGCAATATATCTAGACTTTTGACTACTCTAAAGTGCCCATCAATCTCCCACTATGAGCCTCACACACCAGTAATTCTTTAAGTAAACACTTCAACACACATAACTTACCATCTTTAAGGAGAAACTCATCACACCTATAAACTTTTTGAAATGCATGATGTACACATACATGATTAACAGTAGAAAAATCATTATCATTAACATACATCTCTTTAATACGTGTGAATTCTAACAACTTAGAACTAAGTGTAGAATCAAAGAACACTTGTGAGATAATGCATCAGCAACGTTATTATCTTTACCTTGTTTATACCTGATTAGATATGGAAAATATTTAATGAACTCAACCAACTTATCATGACAACAATGGAGTTTACCTTGGTCCTTTCAATGTTTTAAGAATTCATAGTCGATGTGGATCACAAACTCCTTTGCCCATGAGTAGTGATGTCATACTTCTAATGCTCTCACCTAGGCATTCAATTCTTTGTTGTAGGTTGAGTAATTCAACAGTGCACCACTAAATTTCTCACCGAAATAAGTCACAAGGCACCCTTCTGCATCAAAACTACTCCTATACCCATATATGAAGTGTCACTTTCAAGCTCAAAAGTTCTATTAAAGTCAGGTAAAGCCAAAATAGGTGCAAAACATAATTTATCTTTAATAAAGTAAAAGCATGCTTTTGTTTTTTAGTCCATACAAATTTTATATTTTTCTTTACCAGTTCATTTAATGGTGCTGTAATAGAACTGAAATCCGTAACAAACCTACAGTAGAACCTTGTTAGACAATGGAAACTCCTTACCTCACGAGTTGATGTCAGGGTAGGCCATACTCTGAGTGTTTTCACTTTATCCTCATCTACTTCAATGCCTTGTGTACTAATTATATATCCCAAAAATATCAATTTTTTACTGCAGAAAGTACACTTATTAACATTGACAGATAAATGTTCTTTCCTAAGGACCTCAATGACAAACCTAATACACTAAAGATGATCCTCTAAAGACTTGATGTATATCAGGATATCATCAAAGTAAACTACCATAAATTTACTTAAAAAAAGGTCATAGAACATGGTTCATAAGTCTCATGAAGGTGCTAGGGGCATTCGATAACCCAAAAACATTATTAACCACTCATACAACTCATAGTTGGTTTTAAAGACAGTTTTCACTCATCCCCACATTTCACCCTAATCTAGAGGTATTCATTCTTAAGAAATATCTTGGTAAAAATAATAGATCCACTCAACTCATCCAACATATCATCTAACCTAGGGATAAAATATCTATAATTTACTGTAATCTTGTTCTTGACTTAGCAATCCACACACATCCTCTAATAACCATCCTTTTTAAGAACAAGCAACACTAAAACAACATAAGGGCTCAAACTCTCTCTCACATGTGTCTTACCTAACAATTCTTCTATCGGGATTACTTCGATAAGTTAAGTGGTTGGGAATTGAAACTTTATGAATAGAGTCAATATAATATTTGATCCCTCATAGTAGTAGTAGACCATCCAGAATCTCCTCCGAGAAAACATTTTCATATTTCTCTAAATGAAAGAAAACATAACTAGGCAAAAACGTCTCAATGTCAAAACATTTAGATAGGCTGCTTTGTACTGAAGTACAATTAAGCTTCTTCACTCATTTTGTTCTCCCTCATATTTAAACACTCTTCTTTTTTTCTCTCCCATTTTGTTTCATTGGACCTTGTTTATTTTTCTTTTAGGCCTTTTTTATCTCAGTAGGTTTTCTTTATTATTTTTTTCGGCCTCTTTTTCTCTCAATTGTTCTTTTTTTTTTCTTTTCGGCCTCTTTTCTCTTAATGGGCAATTCTTTTTCTTTTTAGCCTCTTTTCCTTTTTTTTTTTCTTTTTCTGAATATTCTTCAAATAATTTCTTGATTTTGATTTAATCCGCATAGACCTCCTTTGGAGATAGAGGTGTCAAAATGTACTTTAAGACATCTAAACGTAAAGAGTATTGATTTTTAAACTCATCGCGAGGTACCTATATATCATGTCATGGTGAAGTTAGCAGGATATAACTGGCATGCATGGGAATGATATCATAACATACTTCATCTTTATACTTACCTATGGAGAATAGAACATTGACTTGTTTGTTTGCCCTAACTTCTCCACATTCATTGGGCCAATGTATTCTATAAAGATTAAGATGTTTAATGTATGATAACCCTAACTTATCGACTAGTAGAGTACTGGTAATTTTGGCACAACTGCCCCCATCTATGATCAAATTGCATACATTCTCATTCATAAAACATCTAGTGTGAAAAATATTCTCTCTTTGATTGTTATCCATTTCCATATATTACATATTCAGTGCTCTCCTAACAACTAGGATTTCACCTTGCACTGGGGCTGCTAAATTGTCTTCACAATCATCTAGTGATGTGCAACTATCGTCATTATTATTGTACTCACTAACGCTCTCTATCTCGCCATCATCTCATAATAACATGATCTTTTTGTTGGGGCATTGCGAAGCAATTTATCCAACTCTAAGGCACCTAAAACACTTAATAGAACTTTATTTTTTAGTATTAGCATGTCGTTTAGGGTTACCTTTAGATTTATTAGAGCTGGACTTGTCCTTCCTTTCTTCAAACCTCTTCTTCTCATCTTTTCTAGACTAGCTGGAACTATACTGAGGAGTAGACAAGTAATTTCCTATGGAGAAACCCTTGTTCTTTAGTTGCTTCCAATTTTCATAGTCATGTGCATCATCTCTTCTACATCTATATAGTGATGTAGCTCCACAACATTGACCATCTCTTTATTTAGGTTATTAAAAAATCTAGCAATAATGGCTTCTTGACTCTCATAAACTCTGACCCTGATGATCATCATCTCCAACTCCTTATGGTAGTCTTCCACAAATATGGATCTCTAGGTCAATATTTAGAGCTTTTGGTGCAATTCCCTTTAATAATAAGATGAAACAAACTTCTTCCTCATGATGGACTTCATCTCTCTTCAGGTGGATATAGTTTGGTCTCCATCTCTTCTCTGATAGTGGTCACTTGATCCCACCAAATAAGTGCATAATTTATAAACTTGAATGCTGTTATTTTTACTTCTTAGTTTCACTATAGTTGTGATAGTTAAAGATCAACTCTATCATTCGTTCTTACTCGAGATAGGTCTCTGCATTATTCCTACCTCTAAATGGGGGTATCTGCATCTTGATGGATCTGATGTCATCGTCTTTCCTCCGAAATTTTCTATCGACCTCACTATTGTCATGACTCATCATCATCCTGACAGTGTCAGTGTTTGGGATGGCTATGGTTCCTTCCTCCATCTCTCTCATCCATCTTTATTGTTATTCCTTCAATGGTTAAGCTCAGTTCGTTGTACATGTCTTCTATCCTAACCTCCACGTGTTCTTCTAAGGTCATAGGTTCGTTGGCTTCACTAGGTTGTGACATATCTAAAAAAAATATTAATAAAAAAAGAAAAAAAAATCTGTCACTATCACTCGTGTTTACCTTTCTCTATCTTCTTTCGTCAAGTTAAGTGTCAGAATTTGGATCTCTTGAATCAAGATAAGCAAGATTGCCTTTAAGATTTTGTAAAGAATTCTAAATGAGATCTTGTTCTCTAGACGTTCAAAAATAAGCACACAGAAGAAGAATATGTTATGCTTTTATGCTTATAACTAAATAGTTATGATGCAATTAACCACTTATATATAATAAAATTAGAACACTCAAAAAAGAATGAAACTAAGAGTAGAAAAAGACAATCCTTGATTTAAAGCGTCAAGAATCTGACTAATTTCTGTAGATATAACCATAATGCTATACATAATTATTCTACCCAAATAACGGTTATCCTTTTATGACTCACTTGAATTTCTATAATGTAGATACTAATGCAGACTAATGAATGTAATATTGTAAAAAGAAAATCACACACCTTTTTGACTTTTGATGTGGTGGTTGATCGGCCTTGCTTGGACTAATATTTAATATTGGAATTTTCTACTTCAAGATTTTTTTTTACAAAATCTTTTTTTTTTCTCACATAATTTTTTTTTTTTCACAGAAGTATTTTCGCTATAACAACAACGGTAAAGAAATTTCTTGAAAAGAAACTAAATACAGTAGCACTTTATACATTGATTGCTAATTTAATACATGAACCAAATGCAAATAGTAAATTGGAAGGATATTAGATTTACCGTAGCCTAAGCTCTAATATCAAGTGATACGAAGCGTGGGATCAACAATGCAATCCAAAATTCTGCATATACATCAACAACTAGAAATTTAAAATCTTAAGTAAACCCTCCCTATTTGACTCACACTCAACAGGAGAGTGAAAACTAAAGTTATATGAAAAGAAATAAAGAACTAAAATTGAAAAGACCCCACAAGACTTACCTCGATAAGTGATTCCAATTCCTAGTGTAAAAAATCAGTTAAAGACCCACTCACTCACTCATTCACTCTTGAAAACTTGGAAAAGTAAAATAAGAATATTTGAATTTTATTAATAATCCGAATTGTAAATACCAGAAGGGGTGGTGACCTCTATTTATAGAGTTAACCATCCGTATTTGACTTAAATAAAAAAATAAGAATTCTAATAAAATTCTTAATCCTAAAATAAGTAAAAGAGACTTGAATTTAATTAAAAATAAAACACAAAATCTTAATTAAATAATTGTTTTCTCCTTCGGTGGCTAAAACTCTCACTTGGACTTTTTCTTTGTATCCTTTTTTGGTCTTAAACTCTAATTTTTTTTTTCTTTTTATTTTGCAATTGTTGTTCTTTTTTTTTAGAATTATGTGTGAATAAGGAGTGCAGAAGTCAGGTAGGGCCCTATCTCCCCTTAACCGACACAAACTCTCCCATGTTGTGCGGTCTTCTTCCTCTTCTCTTTTTTCAATTTTCTTCTTCTACTCATCTTCAGCATTCTTCTTCTCTTCTTTTTCTTATTTTGCAGTCATACAGAACTCTTCTTTCTGGATTTATATTGGAAAATTTTGAGTAAATTGAAGGTGATATGCGACAAGAAGGATTCTTCTCGGGTTGAGGTTTCGTCACTCTCATAGTCTTTATTCCTCTTTTGCATCTTCATCTTAACTTTCTCTTTTATTATTATTTATTTGTTTGCCTTTGTTTTGTAGGTAGTCGGAGTCCATTGAGATAGTTCGAGCCTCTCTAAAGAGAAACACAACCTAGGCTTTTCTAGTTTAGTGTAGTACCCATGCGGATGAGGGGGTCTATACCTCCACGCTCTTCCCAAGTCAGGACCAGATATGGCTAGTGTTCTTCTTGTTTTTTTGGACCTGTTCTTGCAGCTTATTGGGCTTCAAAGTCGATTTATTGGGTGATCCAACCTTGGACAAGACGATTGAAGGATTTTTATAAGCTTTTAGCGCAGGCCCAGGTAATAGTTCCCTCCGAGACTTGAATCTTTCTTTTCACTTCTCCTCAACTAGCTTCTTGGTCTTCTGGGTTAACATCATTCCTTATATCTCATGTGTCCAGGTTTATATCACACACTCTCACAACCTATAGATATAGTTTCACACATCATATATAATTTATACACATAATAATATGTCTCCGTATAAGATTAACCCAATCTTACCTACAGTCTGATCAAAAAGGTATCTGAATCCTTAACAGTTCATGTCTATCATCTCTTAATCCCCGTCACCATTTGGATGTTTACTTTGTTTACAACAAAATACAGACATTATTAACGACGAATAATATCAAAAATGATACAAAATGATAGAAAAACTGATTATACTTTTGACACTCAGTCTCCAATCACCATAGTCGCATCACCGCATACCGAATTGACACGCACTAAGACATGTGCCACCATTAGAATCAACACGCATTACCACACACACCACTGCCAGAGTCGCCATGTGCCGCTGCCGCTTTGGCTGAAACACCATAGAACCATGGGGAGTCTAGATCTGGAGCAGATCTTGCTGAAAGCACCGGATCTGGCTACCTGCGCCGTCTAACCGCTCCTCCCCTGCGCATTTTTCGCGATCTACCTGCTCTTCCCTATCATACGCCTCACCTTCTGGTTCCTCGTGTGAAACTGCAAAGCTAGTTTCTTCTTTTTGTTGCACACGAACTTTGTAATATCCAGACCTAGGTAAGCAACCCAACCCATCTGTTTTAAAATGATGCAGTTTTGAAGCTAAGCATTTGAAGCTCAAAAAGATGCAACTTTGAGAAACCCCAAAATGACGTCGTTTTAATGAAAAAAATAAATTAACGGTGAAGATTTTTCTCCAAATTCCACGGTTCAGATTTAATGAGGACCGCTATAAATAGGTTCAGAGTTTAAAAAAATGAAAGAAGAAAACCTTATCCTCCATATGATCAGGAAATAAGAGATGAAGGGGAGGTAGCCATGGAGAGAGAGAGAGTAAGAGAGAGAGAGAATATGCGAGGAACAGTGGAGGAACATAAAATCCAAAGCTCCTTTGACATTTTCCACCACCGCCAAGGTAGGTCATAGTAAGCTCTTTTCTCTGAGTTTACCACAAGCCGAGCAATTTGTATCCCATTTCCTACTTTCTTTCTCATCTTTCGTAATAGTAGGTGTATATAAGTGGCAAAATATGTAAATTAAGTGAATAAGCTTTAACATCACCATGGAAATGCACCGCTTGGCTTTAGATTTAAGAGGATAAGAGTAGTTTATACTCTAAATCCCTGAATTTAAGTTAATATAGTGATTTAAATCATTGCTTGTGATGTGATTGTAATTTTGATCATTAGTGTGAATATCCCAGTGATTTCATGATGAATATATGAAAAACATGAAATGATTGAGTGTTTGAGGTGAGGGAGTCGGCTAGTATCGACATGCATGGAGGGTTTCGAGGTTGAAGACTGTGGAAGGGGTTTTGATGTTAGGTCCGGTCGGGTAACCCATAGGGTCCAAATCTAAGCCCATGTTAATATTATTAAACCTCAGCCCGGTAAACCTTTTAAATGGTCTTTTAATAAAAAAAAAAGGGAGAAATAAGTGTAGATGAATCGAGCCCAAGCCCAAGTGGGTATGTATATGTACTGGGCTTAGTAATAAGTTGTGTGATGGGCTTAGTAAAATGAGGAGAGTCGGAAAAGAGAAGGGAAGATAAATGTTTAGGTGGAGTGAGCCCAAGCCTAAATGGAGATATACTGGGTTGAGGAATCAATCTATTTGATGGGTCTAATACTAAAATAAGAATGAAAAAAAATAAAGGAACAGAGTCCAGTCTTAAATGGGTTGATTAATTCAATGAACAATAAGTATAATATTCATTAATTAGAAAACAAATAGTGGCAGTAAGGAATTAGTAATATTGATAAATTAACAAAATGAGTTGTTTCATTGAGCTTTTAGCCCAGAAGCAAATAAAGTAAATTTAAATTAAGGATTATATGGGTTCCTAGTGTGCAACCAAAAAAACAGGGTCAACTACATTTCAAGTAATAAATAGTAATGGGCCATGGTACAAGATGATTATGATGGGCTAGAGATCTTGATGTGATACTGGCTAAAAACAAGCCTCAACCAGGGGAAGACAAAAAGCAGGGTAGTACTGATGATCTTTCGGGAAGCAAAAGGAAACAAATGCGAAGTAATAATACTTTAGACCACTCTATCCCTGATTAATATCAAACAACAAGGCCAAATCCATCAAACAAAAATCCCAGCGTAAGAAGAAATGATACCAAAAGTGCCTGAAACCCGAAGGGTAACAGACCTCACTACTAAAGAACGACTCAACCCGAAAATTTTGACCCAAGAAGAAAGCCCAAAATATAGTCTAAGTATGATTGTCTGTAGGGTACACGTGTTGCAATGCACATACAGGATACTTGGCCCCCCATATTTCCCGGTATTCTAAGGTCTCAAAAGAGACCAATCGGAACGACCTTATAACCCACCGAAAAAGAGGAAGCAAACAAATTTCTCAACGTATGGACACGGAGACCCACACACGAATGAGACTGCACGCTCGTGCGTCGAGCTTGTAACCCAACCTGCACGACCCACGCATGCACACATCCACGTATAGTCACACGAACTTGTGTACAAGCACACGACAGCGCCCACGCGCACGTCCTGCTGGGTCCACGTGTCAAGCCAAGAATTGGCCTTACCGACCCTATGTGCAGCCCGCAATCCAACCTATAGGCCTGTTTTGCGTGACCTACGCAGGTCGGCTGGTCGACCCAACCCGCACAGGTTGTCCAAAATCGGCCTTTCCCACTTTTAAATTATTTAATAATTTTATTTTATTATTTTTAAGGCTTTTGGACTCTACCTTTTAATTCTCCATGTTTTTAAATTAATTGTCACATTTTAATTAATTACCTCACACATTTTATATGGAAATCATATGAGATAAAACCTATCCTATTTTTATTATTATTTTAATGTTTATTTTATCTCTACGATTATTTAATTGATTATCTTGTAATTATATGAGATAAAATTAATATTTTATAATGTAATTATCTTAGAATTAGATAGAATTTTATATACAATATTATTTTATTAATTACTTTAAGAGATTGTAATAATCTAGAATTATTATGGAAAATGCTATCAATAAGCTTTTGCCCATAGGTTGTAAACACATCAATTATAAACAATTTAAGAGAAATTCTTGAAAGCAAGCTTAGGTTTTATCAATTATATTTTTGCTAATTTTTTTAGTTTCTTCAAGTTCTTCAAGAAGCAGGAGTCTTCAGAAATTTTATTGAACTAATGAGCAAGAATCAACTTATTGGCAAGTGACGCGGGAAGGTATAAGGAGGATCGAATCTACTCCTGAAATCTACTCAACGTATACAATACCGAAACAATAACAGCTAAAATAACCCATCTCTCTAATTGAATCTACAATTCTAAAATGAAATCAAACATAAAGATTAGAAAAATAAACAAGGAAAGAAAAAATGTCACAAACTTACTGATAAGTTGATCCTCATTCCTTGGCTCAATAAGACTTTTGAAGACTTCCGTTTCACGAAGAACTTGAAGAAGCTAACTTTAACAAAAATGCTAAAAAAAAAAGTTGAAACTCTTAAGAATTCTCTCAAATTTATTCTCAAATGTGTTTTTTACATCATAAGGGCAAAAGTCTATTTATAACATTTTCCGGTCAATCTAGATGAATACAAAAATATTGAGATAATTAATAAAATAATAATTTAGATAAATTTCTATCTTAATATATGAAAATTACATAATAAAATAAATATTTTATCCTAAATAAATTAATTAAATAATCTTAAGAGATAGACTTACATTAAAATAATAAATAATTTAAAAAATATATTTATTCCATGTGAAATCTATTTAAAACACATGTGAAAATTAATTTTAACACATGAGTATTTTAAAAAGTGGGTTTTAAGCCTTTTTAAAAGGGTTTTAAAATAAAATAAATATTAAATAATATTTAAAAATAAAGGAAAAGAGGGGTCAACCGGTCCGCGCGGGTTGTGCGAGAAAAAGCCCACAGGAGTCACGGGCTAAGGCCTTAGGCCGTTTTGCTGGGCTGTTTGTGGGCCTGTCTACACGGGATGTGCACATTCGACCCTTGGGCTTGTGTGCTTGTGGTTGATTCCGTGCGGGCCTAGAGGGTCGCATGCGTGGGTGCTCTTTGGTGCTCGTGTGCGCGATCCGTGTTGGCACGTGTGAATGTTCGTGGGCTATGCAAGCTGGGTTGTGTGTCCGATGCACGTGTGGGTCTCCTTGCTTGCGTGTGGGCCTCCAGATGGAGGG